TGTGTGTGTGTGTGTGTGTGTGTGTGTGTGTGTGTGTGTGTGTGTGTAGGTATAGATAGATGTCTCTCTGTATATAGCATAAGTGTATCCGTGTTATGTATGAGTATACTTTTGAGACCAGGCAACAGAATTTCATTTTTAATGTATGTCAGTGTACCCACAGTAAAAAAATTATCTATTAGGGAAAATTAAGGACAGTCCAATCAGAAATATGTTTACAGCTGTTGTTAAAAAAAAACAGTGGCAAAACACAAGGCAATGAAAGCTTTGGAGGAAATATCATTCATGCTATCTATCCTACATTAGGCTTAAAACCAGAAACTTCCCATCTCTATTTTAAAGGTAACATTACACAAATAATATGCTTGACTATAATTATCTGCTTTACTTAATCTTTGAATAATGATGGGCAGAAAAATATGTGCATGAATGTAGCAAAGCTCACTCTGGATTGTTAAGATTTTGAGACCTATTTATGGAACATTCAAATATTCTGCCACCTTCTTAATGGGGAAACCTATCAGCTTTCACTTTCGTTGTATCAGAAGTCATAGAAATACCAGAAATTTGAATTTCAGTTTGTAGATAATACTACGAAAAGAAAAACAAAACAAAAAAAAGAAAATGTACACTATTCATAATCTGTTTTATTTTAAACACTGAAAAATATTGATAATTATAAAAGTCTTGAACGTTAGCTATGAGAAACACAGCACAACTATGCAGCACTACTATACTCATCATTCTTATTTTCAGTCACTATGCAAAGTGGAACAGTCCATATTTTTAATATCCAGGCAATATGGATCATCTGTCTTATAGGAGAAATAGTAGAGATCTTGTCTGACTGCCATAAGCAAGCCGGGAACACCTCGGGCACCTCCAAGCTGTGATGAGAACACCACACTTGGAATAGAATCTCTGGAAGCTGGAGAAGGAGATGGAATAGTTCGTAGTAAATGAGCATCCTGGAGACTCCAAATTCGCGTATAGCAGTCTTGACCCACTAAGGAGGAAAAAGCAATTAAAGCATGAACATAAATTGTAACACTTAACTATTTACAGACATTTCAGTGAAACTGTCCTTGTAAGTTCTTCATCCATTGCCTTTCCCAAATCAGAATGCTTGCTATAGATTTTGCTAAAAGTGGCTGATGGTAATTAAAATGGGTGAAATGGCCATACAACCTCACAAATTTAGGGGGAGATCATACGTGATGCCAAGATGGAGAACAGAATGTTCTTTCTTCCGCCATTGAACTAGTAGCTAAATTTGGGTAAAAAAAATTCCAATCAACTGAGCAAAGTGAACATGTATGTAAAATGCGGTATACGAGTTTGTGGAAGACAAACTAATCTCTTTTAGAGAATAGTAATTTTCCTGAAATCTGGACCAATATCTCAAGCGTATTATTGCGTAAGCTGCCTCGACTTGCCATGGCAGCAATATAAGTTAAATAAATAAATAAAGAAAGAAAGAAAGAAAGAAAGAAAGAAAGAAAGAAAGAAAGAAAGAAAAAGAAAAAGTAAGTAAGTAAGTAAGTAAGTAAGTTTGGGTGCTAATCTCATTTTGTATAATGCTTAAAAGTTGGAAAACAATAAATACTGCTTCTAGAGTCTTTGCTTTGTTCTCAGGCCAACTTCATTTTGTACACCCTAACAATATGCACCCTGTTTATTATTTAATAATAAGTGCAGTCTATGACTAACAATGCCATACCTGCTGAAAGAAGCCCTTCTTCCTCATTGATGTGCAAAGGAAGAATAGTGTGCTCGTTTTTATGACCGCTATATTCTTTTACACATTTTAGTTTTCTCAGGTCCCAGAGCTTTATCTGCAAGTGATCAAAGCAACAGAACTAATGTAACTCTATTTTAAGTAGAAGTTGCTTTTATCAGGAAAATTTTATTTAAAAAACAAAAAACAAAAACCTACCTGGCCCAACATATCGGCAACCATGAGATGCTGCTCACTTTTCAGGAGATTAACAGACGTGACTGCTGAGTCATGGAAGAATTGACCAGCTTTCCATCTTTGCCCTTTATGGTTGCATTGACGGACATCAATACTGAAAATCTCTCCTGAACGACAACCATTATATAAAACTGGAGACTAGAAAAGCCAAGGAAAAAATGAAAACATTTTCAAATAAATCCACCCTCAAAAACAGCCTTCGGTTTTTAATAACACTTTATATTGGATTCTTTTTTAGGTTAGAGAAGCACATAATGGGTCGTTAGTTCTAATAAGATATAAATCATAATACAAATAATGGGCTCAGGAATTCTATTTTCTCCAAATGACAGCCAAGGTAGCGATGATGCAGGCAGCTGAAGAAAGAGGGCAAGGTTGAAATTCTGCTGTATCATGTATCTTTATTACATATCCCAAACTGGTTGTCTAGCAAAGAGTGATTTAGTTCAGCAGCATGTTTTCTAGTGGCGAAATATTCAGCATTAGTGACATTGTATTATGTGATTATCTGAATAATAGGCTGCAGCTTCTTTTTCCTAGAATGCTATTCCAACATATTTAAACAGGCATTGTCTTAGTAGCTTACCTGCTTCTGCCCTCTTCTGCCCTTATTATGTCCTGCCAGTATTAAGTTCCAGTGAATATATGTATATCAAGCTAATAGCCTCTCCTACCTGGGTGGCAAATTGCTGTGCTAGAACATCACTGTTGGTGTTAAATGTTTGATGATGACCAGTCACTGCATCAGTAACGATGATTCGTTGACTTAAACCTAAGACAAACAAAAATGTTAAGTGACAAGTGTATGATAAGAAGATACCATAATGGAAATTTGAATTACTAACCTGTGCTAAAGCAGTTATTAGCTTGAGGATTATGACACCAGGCACAAGACCAGGCGGTGGAGATGTTGAACCTCCATGACATTCCACGTTCAACTGCTAAAAAGAATAGGAAGATATCAAATGCCACTATGAAGTTGGGAATATGCTCCATACAAATCTATGTCATGTCATTTCTGAACATTATATAATTATCTCAGCAGAAAATATGGCAATACTTGAAACAATGTTTTAAAAATGAAGCAATTACATTGTTTGTAATTTGTAAACCGCCCAGAGTAACGCTGTAATGGAAATGGGTGGCATAGAAATTTAATAAATAAATAAAAGTCGTAAAGAAGGCAAGTGAAAATAAGTTTGGACAAATTGTCTATTTAGAGGCAGAGGTGTTTATACTAATACCTGGAATTAAAAACCCTTCAGACATTACACGTTTCATGATAGTCAACATTTTGTGAGAAAAAAATAATTATTAGCTTTTCTAAATGTAATGTTTCAGCATCATTAGACACTGAATAACTTTTGTCCCAATATCTTGGTTAAATCATGTCTGCTTAATGTGTTTATTCTTTAGGATTTTTACTAATGTTAGGCTTCACAAGTTTCTATATCCGTAACCTAAGATAGAAATCAAGCTCTTACAATATGTGTATATTGTGCAGCAAAAAATATTCATATTTTCCTCCTTGACCAATATTATTGTATCTTATTCTATTTCACACACATTAACTGAAATAGTTCAAATACATTTTCCAGGGAAAACATCTCTATTTTGTGACATCCACAGATATTTTTTTTTAAATATCAGTTCCCTGTTAATATTCTCATGGATCAAAAATATGTATCTATATGAGTAGGAATGAATGCAGCCACAGCAGAAACAACACTCTCTTAAGAGATATATAAGCATTTATTGATCTATTTAAAACATTTATATAGCTGCGTAACTTTTCCTTTTCACCCCATCCTCAAACAAATATGAAATACCTGTGTTAGAGCTGTTGAAGAAGGAAGCTGGGAGCAGGCTGGTACACCCTACGTTTTCTGCAACACCCATGAGGCACAACTTGAAAAATGCAGTTAAGGATACTATAGATGCAGATTGTGCACAAAAACAAAGTGTGTCACATAACATCAGATTAAGTGGCACAGTAGATCAACCTCTGCATTGAAAACACTGATAAAATTTTACACTAGAAAATAGTAGTGTTCAGACTATATTAAACTATGCAGTAAAACATTCATTCATTGAAACTAATGCCTCCATTCTCCGATTTTACTGGTTTATTGCAACGACATTACACTGTCTGAGTTTCTGGGCAGTTTTTGACACAATTAAAATTCCATCCCTCTCTTTTTAACAAAATGAAAAAAAGAATATTCTTCTCCTTTTGTCCATAAAGGAGGGTGAGGTTTTAGCAACAAAAGCTAAAATCAGCATTTCTTAATCTGGTTTACAAACCCTAAAATAGCAAAAATGTGTTTTAGTTTTTAATGTAGGATTTTAGTTTGTGGCAGATATGATCTTGACTTCAAATTAGTCTGCAGCTCCAAGCCTTCGTATCAAATGATAACTTTCAAATCAAAAATAAGTAGCTGCATATGATTCTCAATGAGTATTTTCCCATTCCTTTGCTATACCTCAAACCCAGAAGGATTTAAGACAATCAAGAAACCTATCAGTTTTAGCTTTTAAGAATCCAAGTTACTCTGTGCAATGGTATTTTAATGATCCTGAACTTAGACATTTCTTTAATAATAAGGATATAAAATATGAGAATCCTGATGCCTCAAAGAGGCCCAGCATACAGAATTCACCTTGGAAAATAAAAGGCAGATAAGCGTATTAGAGCAAAAAGTAGATAACATTAAATGAGACGAATGGAGCAAGTGCTAAAAAGCTAGAAATTTTTTTTAATAGATAATACTTTGGAATGAAAGTAACTGTATAGAAAAACAGGAATACACCATTAAGGACTACTTTGGAATGAAAGTAACTGTATAGAAAAACAGAAATACATCATTAAGGACTATGTAGGCCTTTGTAAATACTGTATATTTTTAAATCTTTATAATTTCAAATTAAACGAAGAGCAAACCAACAAAAATAAAATGAAAATATATTAAAACAAATTGCAATGCACGGCTATTCAGATAACCAGAAAAACATATCAAAGTGGGCTCATAAAATCAGTTTTTTACAGGCAGGGGTGGAACTGCTGTACACATAGCAGCAACTCTACGGCATTTCAGTTAGTTGAAAGTATGAATCACTGCTATTTATTTTAATTGCTTACTGGATAACCTGTAACCTGTTGGGTCATTGTTTCAGAGAAACGTCCTTACCTAAGCAGAGAAACAGAATGACTTCAGGCAGGCAAAAAATCAGTGGGACTTCCAATTTCTTGTTGGCTTCTCCCCTTAGGCTTCCTTGTGGGAAGCTGCCAATGAGCCTGGAAATCTTCCCTTCCCAGGGGGCTGGTGATTGTTGGTAGGTCAGGGAGGGAACAAGAGAGTGTGCATGTGGCTGGCAGTACAGAAGGGCTAGACCATTTCTACACTGACTTTTTCTCTGCAAGCTTCCCACAAAAAAGACTTCATAGCAGGAAAGGCAGCAAGGAACATAAAAGCATCAGTAATCGTATCAGTCCTTTCTGGACTTGTGGAACTGTCAGGAAGCGCTGAAAATGAGGATCATGTGGCAACAGCTGAACAAAGCAGAGGCACTGAACAGCGGCAGTGCAGTAGTGCTGAAGCGGCAAAAAATCCCTGGGGAGTAATGGATCCCAGCAGTTCTTGATAAAGTATTGATGCAGTATTTGCCCAACTGAAGGTTAACAAAGTATCACGCAGGCATAGAAGTTTTAGTGGTATATAGATGGACATGAACAGAGCTTCCTTTTTAAAGGCCAGATTGCAAACAATGTATAAAAAAATGCATAGGACACATCCACTGCATCTAACCTAAATTACGATAGGCCAAATACAGAATCCAACTGATGAAGTGGAAACAAACACATTCTAACAAGTTTTCAAATTAATTACTCAGCAGAACTGAGATATTTTATTCATACAAGAACCAGCACACTGACAATCTGTAATACTTTTTAATTCTTACCCAGTATTTTTAGAAAGACATTTACCGTATTTATCGGCGTATAACACGCACAGGCGTATAACACGCATTCCCTTTAAGAGGGAAATTTCAGGAAAAAAATATGCGGCGGGCGCAGCGCTGACATCACGTCACGACGCTGCGCCGCCGCTAGGCACTATTGGGAACGGGATCCCTTAAAGAGGATTCCGCTCCCTGGACATCGGCGTATAACACGCATACATCATTTGCCCCCTATTTTCAGGGGGAAAAAGTGCGTGTTATACGCCGATAAATACGGTATATCCTTTAAAAAAAAACACTCCAGGGTTATAAAAATAATAAAATAATTAAAAATTTCAAAACCCCAAAGAGATACATCAATGGAATAATAATAAATGTCTAACAGAATATTTACGTAGCATCAAAATGTCAGTAAAAATGACTGCACCCCAAAAGGATGCTCTTACTGAAGTGTACCTTTCACTTTATGTATAAGTGGGGGCATTTAGAGATCTACACTGACCTAATAGGGTCAAATGGACTGAAGAAATCCATGAGCTATCTTGGCTCTGCATGGTGAAGCCATAAATGGACAGGGGCTGGAAAAATGATCATGAGCTACTAGTTACTTAGAAAGAAAAGACATGGGTTCTCAACATCTAGAATACAGGCAACAGCATAAGCAACACACACACACCCCACACTCACACAAAATTTATCCAACGCAGGAGTTATATTGAATTTTACAAAAACTTCTATCCCAAAAGTTGAATGAATTCTATTTGGGTGCTATATTTATCATTTTCAACTCTTAAATTATTCTTTTCGTTTTGTAAAATCAACCAAATATTATTTAACTAAAACCATCAACTATAATGTTTATCAAATAAAAATAATAACCACAAGATTATAATTTATGCGATCAAAAGATGAGTGACTGCAGGACAAGAATACCTTGCGATTTGTGAAGCATGGATTATCATACACCTCTACGGTAAGAGAATCCTTTCCCAAACCACGGAGGTCAACAATTCCATATTTACACCCTCCTCGTTCTGCATCATTCACAGTGACTATTCTCTCAGAAGCAGTGTCTGCCTACAAAAGATGTGAATTATTCTATAATCGTGTACTCCACAGTTTTTCTTGAAAGACACACCACACCCACTGATATTCAATGATGGAGAATATTTTTATTCCTTTTAAATAGTTAATGTACCAAATGTCACAGTTTAACACATGACAAATTTTTATCCACAGTCCCATTCTAGTTAGCTGTTGCATTCTTCTAAATGTTTCTTAAAAGAATTTGTAAAAATACTTAAGGGGATATCTGCAAGAAAAAAAAATCCTTAACATAAAATTGCAGTACAATCTTAACATAAATATTGTTTATTGGGCTTATAGGTTGTTCTACTCAACTAAATCTAAGAAGCACACCATTCCATAAATTTGTAATCTGAGTAAAATAAATACATAATAAAAAATTAAAATCAACAAATATGCCAACATACCACAATTAGTTTAAAATTGTTGCTTCCAGAAACTGAAGAATTGAGGTTCTCAGTTTCTAATTTCCTTCTCTTCATGCAATTCACCTTTAATTCATGAATCAGCCTACAGTACATAACAAAGCAAAAAAGGGAAAAATTAAGTAAGCGCAAAACTGAAATTAAATTTCAATAGACACTATTATTTAGCTAAAAGGTAGTATTCAATTGCTCAAAAATCTCCAACCCTGTTTATTCCTGTGTAAGTTTTAACTAGACTATTTGGTTAAAGTTAACTTTTATGTAAGAGTATTAGATGTATATGGGATATGTTTAAAATAACATTAATTGATCAAAGGTAAAGAAATGCCTATTAACTACAAAGATAAATATCTGTAGGTTTACTCTTTCTGTAATGCAGAATCAAATATCCTAAGACAGAATGTATCTATCCAGGAAAGAGCTTCTTGAAGGTCCCCCAACCTCATACAATTCACGGGGCCACAGACCAAGTGATAAGATCTCCTTGAGGGTAGACCCCACTGCATCAAACATTTTGTGCCTGTCTGTACATGTGGCCTCAGTTCATCCTGACTTCAGGAAGCAAGTTAAAAGGTACTGATACGCTGTGCTTTGGATTTACACTTATTTACACTTGGACTTACACTTTACACTGGACTTACACTTTTCTTTGGATGATCTTATGAGTTTTATTTTAATTGATTTTAAAAAATGTATTATATTTAAAATATTGTATAGTGTTGAGAGTCTATATAGATTGGACAATTTAATAAAAGTGTCAAATAGGTAAATCAGGATAAACCCATAAAAATACTATGTTTCCAGTAAATTGTCCCCCTGGTATTAGGTTTTAGTCTAGCAAACATTCTCTTTTCTGCGGTCAACATTATAGCGAAAAAGCTCTGCAACATATATTTTAAAATATCTTACCTGCAATAAGTTATAGAATTATAGAAACCTAATTGTTTCTTGCGTAAGATAATTGAAGAATTCAGTCCAGATCTGGGGGTTTTCTATTGGAAACAGTAAAAAAACAAAATCATGTTTCTTGTTCTTGTTCAGATTAAATTATGTGTGGTTACCATTTTAATATTCAAAAATTAGATGGATTTCATACAATGGTAGACCCCATTACTATGGTCAAACCAATAATTTAAGATTGTTACTAATTATTAGCACAAAGATTTATAATGAAATTCAGATGAAAATAAAGAAAATTCCACAATGTATCACAAAACTAATTTTAATGAGATGAAAGGCTTTAAAAGCAGGTACTAAATGTTTGCACTGTGTGGCTGTAATTCAACCCTACCTTTATCATTTTCTCATCCTCTTGTAAAAGTGTTAACCTTTGCCTTTCCATCTCTTTCTGATGAATACTCTCCTTGGTGAGAGGATTGCAGTTGTTATGCCCAGGAAGTAAGCGAAAATAGCGATTCTTTTCAGGATCATAATAAAATCCTGGTAATTCTTCAAAAAGAGAATGACAGATTCTATTATTACAAGGCTCTTTCATCTTCTTCATAACTTACACAGTATTGCAGTTTTAGGATCTGGAATAAGAAACTTCATGCTTTCAGTTCAATCCAATGAAGTTGCTCGTTTGTTTTACTACAAATAAGCATGGCTGCTAAAATAATAAAAATTCAGTCTGAACATCTGGCTCACTGTGTAAGACAAACCATGACAAAGGATATGAATCTAGTATGATTAAAATAACTGAAAATAAAATTCAGCAAGCAGAACAGCAATGGTTATTCTTAAATGATGAATTTTATGTAAAAGTTAACTAACACACTGTCCTCACCAAAAAGCAACTATTCCGTGCTTATACTGTATATTTTTCTCAAAATATTCAGAAGCACCATAACTAACTAGTTATGGTAGTTATGGCAGTCACGCACATTTGCTGCAATTAGCAAAATATCCGCATTAGATCTATTTCATAAAATTGTCTAACAATTACAGTCTGAGAGAAAAGAATATAAACTGTAAATTATGTTAAAAAAACCTGTCTTCCTATGTTAATACCTGGAAAAAAGGAAATTGTTACTAAAAATAGTTGTTTTCTATTTATCTATATAATTTATCATTTTGAAAATTAATTTATTTTTTTAACCATTAAGAAAAGTCGTGTTTGATAAGTTTAATAACTTTTTTTGGGCTCAAACCTATGGAAGTAATAGGAACCTACCTGGAACTGAAGAACTTTGGCATGAATGGGAAGATGCAGAGGGTGCTTCAGTTTGGCTTGTATCTGAGTTTTGCAAGCTTTGCCATTCTCTTTGTTCAGGCCTATGAATATGTGAAAAAGAAAGAATTAAGAAGATAGTAAATAAGCTAAATATCAAACAAAAAATACTTAAAGGACTAAAAGTTTACACAGAGCAGAAAATTATGTAAAAAATCCCATTATTGTATATAGCACAATATCTCATCGGAACAATGTCTTTTAAATTTTTTTCTCAGACCTTTCATTAATTTACTGAAGCAGCTGATAGGACATGGGAGGATACCGAGAAATGGTCTCAATTAGACTAGGGAATCTTGGAACTGCAGGAGAAATCTGTAGTTAATAGAATTCTTGGTGTCTGCCAAATATGTTTATGACAGCAGCTAGCATTTAGAAGAGGATTTACCACTGTGCCAATAAAAGCCCTCTCTGCCATGTCTTCTTAAATCAGAGAAGAGTGACGATGGCACTTTCAGGCGCTACACTGAAAATGAAAGGATTAATATACAGCTGAGGTTCACAAGCTGAATGTATCAGCATTTCTTAAGGATTACCTCAACTGGTAATAATAAACCAAAACATAAAATGTTCCAAGTACTACAGTAAAAGGACATAAAAAGCAGCAAAGTATTTATAGCAAGACAGAAAACAGCAACCCATATAATGTAATCTAGATGAGAATTTGCTTTTCATCAACTTCTGGCACCCACCTTTAAATAATCTTCTCTCTTTGAAATACATTTTTAAAAGGCCAAAAATAAATACTTGCCTTTCAGTAGAATGCTGATGGTGGAACATTGTATAAGGCTGGCCATTATACATTCGTCTATGATTATGTTGTACATCACTTCTTCTACCTCGCCACCTATTTCTCTTCATCTCTGCAATAAACAAAAGTACTTTAAAATATAACTTAAGCTTTTTGAGTAATATTGACAGCTTTGGAATTCAATAATCTACCAGAAAAATAAACATGTGCAGTTAAATATTAAAGAACAACTGATGGTCACCATCCTGATCTGCATCCTGATCCTGATCTGCAAATCCAACATGAACAGGATAAATTGTTCCATTCTGCTTACAAGAGTCTTAATTCGGCACAAATTGTCCACCAGTTTGTAAACAGGTTCATCAAATTGATTTTTTCTTTCTAAAAATTTAATCCAAGTCTGCACCGTATTCAAGAATTATACACAAATAGTCCATTTTAGGAACATTTTATTTTCAATAAATTCATTTATAGGAAAAAGTACAGGAAGAAAAGTCCAACTTAACTCATTGTCACTATATGGACACAGATACACCTCTTTTTCCATGACAGTAAATATATTGTTATGTTTTTTACTTCTCAGTCTAACCTACAACTTGATTTGACCCCCCCTGTCCCCAATCCAATAACTACTGTAACTAGGACCGATTCTATTTTGAGCCCAGGTGAACTCAATATACGGGCTATAAGTTACTGAAGGGTAGTGATCGTACTTTTTTTGAATTTTTAAAATTTGAACTTCTGCAAATGCTAGCTTTAGGGAACTATCAAGCTGGGGTAAAACATCAAGATACTGTTTAGCATGGCAGTTTTTATCTGCAGTGACTTAGGGCTATTCTCTTCACATTATTACTCTGCTCAAGTCTCCTGTTGGCTCCAAGGATTTCTCCCTGTCTTCATTTTATTTTTACAACAATCTGCTGAGTTAGCTCACGCAGAAATGGATTACCATACAATCATCGCAGACTTCAGGGCTTAAAAGATTTGTTTGATTCTGAGTTTGCTCCACCTTATCTCAGCCTACCTTATCTCAAAGCGCTTCAAAGTTCAAGCAAGACCGTTAACAAAAACATAAGCAAAGACATTCGCACAGCTAGCTCAATGCTTAGTCATCCTGCAGACACATCCATCTATCTATTGATCTGGGGAAAACATTAAGCATTAAACATTTGCTATTGTGGGATCCTTGGTGCCCTTCTGAGCTTGGTTGTTTTCTTCCAGACGTTTCATGACCAGCACCAAGGATAAGATAACTTTGTCCTTTTTTTACTGCGAGCACCCAGACCCCCATTAAAAATGAAATTCTGTTGCCTGCTCTCAAGAGAAAGTATGTATCTATCCAAACATATACATAACACCTACCCCCACACCCCTCACAGTTCAACCCTGAGCGGCAAATATTCCCTCCTATCGGTAGTTTGCTGTTGTTTTCTACCGGGATTTTTTTTTATTTTTTAAAAACTTCTTTAGTTTGACTTGGACAGCCTCCCATCCAAGTCCGACCCTGTTTAGTTTCCCGAAACCAGTGAAGATCACCGAGGAGACTCCCACGAACATGCTATTAAAGCAGATCGCCTTTTAGGCCGATCGCCTTCTGCTCGGCGCAGGAATCCAGCCCAAAGCCTCCCCCCCCAAAATGGGGGCTGCCCTCTGCTCCAGCCTAGCCGCCTCCGAAGAGGCATCCGCCCGGTTCCTGGGTCTGTAACCGCTAGTAACCGTCTGAAATGCCTGCCCCTCGCAGAAGGGCCCTCCCGCTCTCCATCAATCTAAACTGCCACCACTGAAGGGCCCGAGGACGGGGGAGGAGATTTGGGCCCCCGTCCTGCCTCTTTCTCCCGCCGTGAAAGCAGCCGGCCTCACCTCGGCCACGAACCATTTTGCCCAACCCGCCGCCGAAGACTTCGCTTTCGCCCTCGGACGCTTCCACCCGCTTGGCAAGCCCCCTGGGGATTTTAATTGGCTAACAGCGGCCGCCCTATCCCCTTGCGCGTTCTTGCCACAACGCGGAAACAGAAGCTTCCGATGTCACGTGGCCTCGTCCCCCCCCCCCCCGAAGAATTGGAGGTCACGCGATTGTCCGGCTTTGGTTGGCGGGTGGGGCTTAACTAAACACACGCGAAAGTAGGCGGGGGCGCCCGGGGAGAGAGGGATTTTGATTGGAGCATGTGCGAACGCGGCTCTGAGAACAGAGAGAGATACAAAAAGGGTTACTAGTATGGACGATATTTCTCAGTCTCGGCAGCTTGAGGTATGGAGTTCGACTCCCGCTGGATTAGGGAATTCTGGGAAATGAAGTCCACCCCCTCTTCAAGTTGCCGAGGTTAAGAAACAGCGGGTGTAGAGGACGAACCTGTCAGGATTGTAGAGCTGAAGTACACATTTTCTAAGAAATTCTGTTGAGAAAACCAGTTTGGAAGCCCTAGATATTGCTGCTGCATTAGCTTGTTTTATGACTTCTCTTTTAAAGACATGACTGAACATCCTACCAAGCGAAAAAGGGAAACTGGAGAAGGAACCTATTGTCATCCAGTTCTCACTGGCCTTCCTTTGAAGAATGAGATTTTTAAAGAAGAGATTGGAACAACCATTTGTCTGAACTGTATAGGGCTTCCTGCCTGAGCAGGGGGTTGGACTAGAAGACCTCTAAGATCCCTTCCAACTCTGGTATTCTGTATTTATTGTTGGGCACTTCAAACATTTTTCTGAAGTAGCTTAGTGCCAGAGATTTCATAAAGTCTGTTTCCTTGCAAAAAATAATAATATAGAAGAGCCTTGCTATTTCTGTGATGTAATAGATCTAATAGATAAAGCAGTGTTAATTCCACTGTCTCCTCAAGAGCAGTGAATAGTCTGCTTTTCATCTTCTGAACTCTTTATCTTTTTATCTAACTGCCTATAAAACCTGAACTTCTGCCTCCTGCTCTGATTCAGTTCCAGCTGCTAAACCTGCAATCTGCAACTCAGAAGTTATAATAGCTTCAGAGAGCGGCCAGCAATTAATAAACCTTTTAATAAGTTTCTAGTCACCATTGTTCGTCTGAAGAAATGCTTTTAGCTCTGCATTCTCCAATGTGGGAATGGTGGGTGGCAGAGCTGTCAAAACTAGCTACCAGTTTGCCTAGGAAAATCTGCAGCAGGAAAAGGACATCAACATCTATTATTGTGACAGCCATGTCCAATCAGATTGTTTCCTGCTGGTTTCATATTAGTAAGGAGCATTTAGTGATGTTGAGTATTTTATCTTATTTTACATGTTTAGTCTTTCAAAATTTGTTGGATGGTTTAGACCAGTGTTTCTCAACCCCAGCAACTTTAAATGACATGGCCACTTAATGGCATGAGTTCTGAGAATTGAACTTCACACATTTTAAAGGTGCTGAGATTGAGAAAAAATAGTTTAGATCGGGGTGTCAAACTCATGGCCCAGGGCCCAGATGTGTCACGTGCTGGCCACGCCTACCCCCAGGAAAAAGTTGCGATACATCACATGATGACAATGTGACGTCGTGAGTTTGACACTCCTGGTTTAGATGGTCACAGTGCTGGGGGACTCCTGTTTCCTTTACAAAAAGCTTATAATATGTTGCTTGGTTTTTTTTAGAAATTTATTTATTCAACATTTCAACAATTAAAAACAAATTTCCACATTTTGTAACATCGTAACAGTGTTTACATTGGTTAATAACACACATAACTTTGTTATCAATAACTATATTAAGTTTTCCCTTGTTCTAAGCATTTTTATACATATATACCTATATTTACACATAAACAATATTACTTTGTGATTTGTCATTCATTGTCATTTGACATCTTTGCGTCTTTTCCTTAGCCACTTGTACCAAACATCCCATATCTTGTAATATTCTCCTTCTTATTTTTTAGTAACATCGTCAATCTGACCATTTTGGCACATTCAAATATCTTATTAATTACTGCGTTTTCTGAGGGGATCGTAACCTGTTTCCAGTTTTGGCCGAAGGAAATTCTAGCAGCAGTTAAGTATTAAATGAAGTATGAAGTATTAGATGTTGATATTTTTTATTTAAGTTTGGTTCTAACATGCCTAACAGAAAAGTTTCTGGTTTGACTTTGATCTTTTGTTTCATTAGCTCCTATAACCAAGATTTAATTTTGAGCCAATACCTCTGTGCTTGAGGGCAGGTCCACCACATGTGAAAATACATTCCCTGGTTGTGAGTGCATCTCCAACATTTTGCTGTCATGTTAGGAAACATTCTGGCTAATCTCGCTGGGGGGAGGTGCCAGCAGTAAAACATACAAATTCTCCTTATAGGAGCCCGACAATGTTGACTTATAATTTAACTGCCAGATATGTTCCCATTGTTCCAAATCAATACTACAGCCAAAATTTTTAGCCCAGGTTATCATATCCTCTTTGACCGTTTCCTCTTCCATTTTATACTCCAGTAAATAGTTGTATATTTTACTAAATATGTTGCTGGTAATGGGTTCTTTAAATCCCCATCTTTGAAATCAGGGATATCTGTCTCATAAGCTGGGAAACCTTGGAAAGTTGAGAAAGGACTAGTTGGATCTTAAGCCATCCTGATCCTTCTTCATACCTTAAACATTGCAAATGCTTAGACTATATTGACATACTTTATTCTTTGCAGGAAGAAAAAGGGAGGAAGAAAACAGGAAAAATTCAAATTTCTCCTGGCCTGCCTTGATGGTCTATTATTTGCAGAGTATTGGATTTTTTTCCAGAAATGTGTAATACTGTAATGCATGGAAACTTATTAAGAACCCAGAACACCCACAGCACTAAGATTTTTAAAAATTCTATTGGCTTGGCATATTGATATCAAGAAGGGTTTTTTTTGAACTATTGCCATCTGGCAGTTGGTACAGAATAATAAAAACAAGGACAAATAGGCTGAAAAACAGCTTCTATCCCAGGGCAGTAGCTCTTTTGAATTCTTCTGTATAGTGCAGTGTTGGGGGTTTTTGGTTCAATGTGTGGAGGGTGAAGGATGTGTGTTTGGGTTTATTTTCATGGTCATGATATGCACTGAAGATGGTGTTTGATTTCGTTGTACAAGGTGCAATGACAATAAAGTAAAGTAAACTAAACACAAAGGTCAAGTCCAAAGCCCAAAGTGGACAAAAATAGCAGAAGCAAGTACCGAATGAAGCTTTCGCAAGAAATAAGCAATGGGTGTGCCAATTGCAGGACTATCCTATCCTTTTATCTTATGTATGCTCAGACAGGTTTATTTATATTACAGTATTGTAAAACTCCATGCTTTCTACATATACTTGACTTGCCTCTATTTTCCCAACTTTGCAATGGATGTCTGTTCTGAAACAGGTAATTATGAATTTATAAGAGAGTTTTTGTTTGTTGTTTGGGTCAAATATTTGTGCTCCTCAGATATCTTTGCCTTGTCTTCAAAATATTGAATTACCCAACTCTACTTATTGTGATCTACTCTATCTGCTTTTGCAGGCATCAGTCCTCATTCTATGAGTATCTCTGAACTAAAAAAAAAAAATCACACCGTAGACTTAATTTGTGGAATTGGTACTGTTTTCTATAAATATTTAGTGTGTAGTTTGATTACACGTGAATTATGACTTGAATAATGTTAATCTGAAATGAATATGCAACCTAATTATAAGAGTCAAAAATTATAATTCTAGGCTGTCAGCTGTATTAAAAATGTTGATTTTGGTCTAATGAATTATGTGGCCCTTGATGTAGCAGCTCTGTTTTCTCCCCTTGGGGTTTTTTTCAGTATTGGAGCTAAGTTGTCAAATGTTTACACCTATAATGAACAGCATAATGTTTATTATCCAATATATATGTCGTCTTAGACTTTTCTGATAAAAGCTGTCATTTCCCATTGTGGCCATTAGAGAGCAGCACTAACATAAAGATTGCCAAATGTACTATCCATATCTTCTTCCCCCCTTCTTTTTAACAGATGGCATGAATGGACACATTCCTGTACAAATTAAAGCGGATGGGGGGGGTGGGGAGTCTGCTGGGCAATTCAAGGATATGTTTGAAAAATACATTCAGTTGTATTGGTTGCATTTCTGACTACAGTCAAAAAAAGGATTCTTGACATCTCTTTGTATAAGTGTGCGCATGGACCTGGGAATTGGACTTGATTCCTGGTGATTACATGGGCAAGTCTGTGCAGCTTGCTTGGCAATATTTTTTTAGAATGGTTTCTTCTTGTTTTCCTCCTAGCATCTGGGCAAGAGTGACTGGCCCAAAGTCATCCAGTTGGCTTTCTGCCTAAGACCCAACTAGAATTCATGAGTCTCCAGTTTCTGTCCCTATTGTCAGCCTCTGACGTGTTTTTTTCTTTGAATTCAGGATGGAAAAACAGGATGAAGTGTTTTTTTCTTTGAATCCAGGATGGCAAAACAGGATAGTTTAGAAAGGAATGTTGTATTTTTCTTCCAGAATGTTCTGTTTTTCTCCTGGAACACACCAATGTCACTGTTCCAAAAGTGTATAGGTGGTATTCAGCAGGTTCTGACCAGTTTTGGAGAATCAGTAGCAGAAATTTTGAGTAGTTCAGGGAACCGGCAAATACCACCTCTGACTGGGGATTTTACAGTATCCTTCCCCTGCCATGCCCACTAAGCCATGCCCACAGAACCGGTAGTAAAAATTTTTGAATCCCACCAGTGGTCTGTATTATTCCAAATGTATGCTGGCATGTTCTGCTTCCTAACATATCTTTAAACCATAAACACAGTGGATGATATTCACTGTTTTGGATAATTCCCTACCCTTAAATAAACAATGTGCGGTGTTTTTAGCATCTTGCAATTAATTTGGTAGACAATTTTACTTTCAACCTAACCTACAGGGTGGATGTTATTTACTAAGCAAATACCTTTTCTGTACTTTAGTTAAGGCAATCTGTGATATCCAAAAGCAAATCCCTCTTGC